AACCCTATACTAAAATCAATATCATGAGTGCAGCATATTGATCAGATAGTGTTTCTAGTAATGATTGCTGAGAAATCAAGGATAGTGGATATATTAATACTTTCAGTTGGTTATGAACAATAATTCCTATATCTTGATCTATGTTATGTACAATCTTATCTATTTGTCATTGATAATTACAAGAAAATTTAACTAATCTTGCTATTGTAGATTAGTTAATGTTTTGCATAGCTTGAGTATATTGTACAGGAAATTTAATACTATAATACGATCGGTAATCTGTGTATGATCCTAATATTTCTATTTCGCTTTTTCAAGGTAACTGATCAAGAGTTGTTGATAGAAAAATAGTTCACCATCTTCAACTGCTAGATGCTGAAATCACACTAATATTGGTTTTTTTCATTGAATTACAAATTTTCCTTGTTGGTTGACCTAGTAATGAATATTTGTATTTGGCTAATAGGATTGTATTCGGTAATGTTGATGATAATGTAGATAGGTAATATCATCAAAGTGCTGATTATTCAGTCTGAGAAAGTATTTGTTGATAGCATCTGTTCAATATGGATTTGAATTTTCTATATTTAATAATTATACCAGCTTTAACTATTTTGATCGAGTATTTGGTAAAGTGAATAGTAAAAATTCAGTAGCATTCGTAGAATAGCAAATTGAATAACCAAGCAAAAGGATTATTAATTCTATAAAACTAAGACATCGAGCTAAGATATGAGATTGATATATATTATATTCTGTTAGTCTAAATAAATCTGTTCTTTCTGGTTTTGTAATATATTTAGTCATATATTTAGCGAATGATCTAGAAGTAATATATTAAAAATTACAATAGCCTTGTCATAATAATAAAGTTAGTACATGATAAAATATAATCTTTTTTTTTTTTATTGTTTAAGGTGGCTTACATTGCTGATGAGATTTTATTAGTATTTGCATACGGAATTATATATTGATAATCTCTACTGTTATAATTACATGAAGAGTTTACAACTAGCCACACATACAACTTTAGTCATTGTCTAATTTAAGTAGTCCACTGCACAGGTGATTAGACTACTC